AAAAAAAAAAAAAAAAAGACGTAGCTTCTTGGATGTATTGGTCGCTCTCCAGAAATGTATGGAGGGGTACGTAATCAGAGTGAACCTGGGTTGACAGTATGGTCGTGTAGTGTAGGTTCTTGTATTTCATAGGTTGTACTACCTAAAAAACTACTAGCACATAATAAATATAAAAAAGTGTGTTAAAGTATGTTCTCTGCAATTGTAGGTTACACAAATAATCATAATGAGAGTGAGTATAGGTTGCTTTTAAAAAGTTTTGCTGACTGGTGTGAAACATATTGTCTTTAGTTGAAAACCAATAAGACCAAAGAAATGATTGTTGATTTTTGTAGACATCCACCAAAAGTGGTGCCAGTGACTATACAGGAGTCAGAAATTAAGATTGTTTCATCATATAGGTACCTTGATGAATATCTTAACAACAACCTCGATTGGTCTGAAAATCAGTTCAGATGTATAAGAAGGGTCAGAGCCGCATTCAAGGTCCTTTGGAGAGTCAGACACTGTTAAAAACATTTTTTTATGATTCTGTGTTTTTGGAACAAAGGTGTGCAATATGAATGTCATTTTATGATTGTTTTTATATATATGTAACTTATTTTATCTAGTATGGAGAGCTCTGCTGTGACGTTAATTTCCCTTTGGGGATTAATAAAGTCAAACAACAACAACAACTACAACAAACAAAATAAGTACCCGTATAGCTGATATCTCAATGGCAAATCAACATACACTCACAGGAATTTAAAAAAAAAAAGTTTGTTATAGTACCAATAGAATAGTTCTTTCTAGTATTTCAATTTAGACTAACTATAGTATCTAACGCATAAGCAAGCACTAGTATCTAATTAATAATAACTAGATTTGAATGTAAAATATATTAGTTGCTAAAAATAAGATTGCCGCATGAATATCGCCGCATGAAAATGCATAATAGTAAAGTTTTTAGATTACATGATTAGATTTGTCTTTACTAGACAGTCTAGTTACCAGCTGGCTTTATCTCGATCTATAGACCATTTTGAGGGATGTAATTAAAAAAGTGGTCCTAACATATTTCCTGTCTTACAGTTATAATTTCCATAGCTTCTGAGAATCCAAAAAAGTCCAAATTTCGATAAATAATTCTATGGCAGGTGTTTTAACATAACAATATCATTGAATTGCTTCTTGTTACAGTTATGAAATAGTTTTACAACAAGCAGGACATTTTTGTGGGCCAATGACATCAACACATTGAAATGGTATTTTTACATGTGCATATAAATGTATAGTATTCCTTACATTTACACAATAAACATTCAGTTTCATATTGGCATTTAGCATAACTTAAATTCCCAAATGCGTGAGATAAGAATTCATTGCTTGCTTAATATTTCTTCATAAAATGCAGTTTGTGCAAAGAGTTATATCTTAGGTAACTTGTTGATTAATTAAACTGGGAATGGCTGAACTCAAATGAGACTGCTATATACAGTAGCTGTTGCATAATTCAGTATGGCATTCAGTTTGAGTCACTGCAGCAGTTTGACCTGCAGTTGATGTTGTCGACAACAAAGATATGGCATCACTTACTTGGAATGATAACAGCAGGTCATAATTCAGAGAAGTCTACTTCTAGATCATTTAGTCACAGAACCTGTGTTTATTTAATTATAACATGGTAAAACTAAGAAATATTGCTGACACTTTACAATAAAGTTTCATTAGTTAAATAGCTAATGCATCTACTAATATAAACAATACATTTATTACAGTATTTATTCAGCTTTGTTGATGTCAGGAAATGAAAATAAAGTCATTCATTGTTAGTTCTTGTTATCTCATAGTGAATTAACTAATGTTAACAGGCACTGAACTTTGCATATTATGTATTACAGTTTTTCTCCATTGGTTTGACTCATTTCTTGAAACAGAAATTACATTCTCAAAATTCTAAGACCATTTGACAAAACAGTGTTACAGTTTAGAACAACACCATAGCTCATATATATAGTTAATTTAAACAGTCAGTGCCCCCAAAATGATTTGTCCCTTTGGCATTATGTAAGCACTGCAAGTCAAAATGTTTAGATGTTTTGTCATTATGGCACAGGACCACTAAAATATCCCTCATGTCCACCTTACAGTCTTAGCCCAGTCCTTCATTGACAATGGTTATTGTACTGTTTTTGTCTCGCTAACAGAATACAATTGTGTATAAAACAAAACAAAACAAAAAAAAAGGATTTTAGGGTAAGAGTAGCCTCCAAGGTTTGACGTCATACAATGCACTTTTTTATTGCAATAATTAACCACACACAAAGTTACTTCCATATATCAAAGCAAAAAGAATAAATATCTGTAATACATTGTAATCAAATGTTCTAAGGATTCACCTACTGTATGGTTTTCATGGTATTTTGGTCTTGACGAATTTTGACAACTGAACAGACTATTGTGCATGTAATAACATGTACAATGAAGTGACGCTGACACATTTTGGAGAGAACAACCATTAGACTGAGAATTAACAATCAGTTTAGATCAACAAGATCTATTCACTTGGAAATTGTGCTAAATGTAGGCTATCTGTACTTAATCATTTGCAAAGATGTACTTTGCAATTTGATGAAATGAATGAGAAATTCAATTCTGTTGTGAACAATTACCAAGTGGTTTGGAGGTTCGTCCATGTTGTATTGAGAATGTAATTTCTGTTTCAAGAAATGAGCCAAACCAATGGAGAAAAACTGTAATAAGTACATATTACATTGAATTAGAATACTATTTTGCTATTTTCCGCTGCGTAAAAACGTGCTGGATAAGTTGGCGGTTTATTCCGCTGTGGTGACCCCGCATTAATAAAGGGACTAAGCCGACAAAAAAATGAATGAAATGAATGAATGATATATATATATGCAGGGGTGACACAGTGGCACAGTGGGTACTGTTGTCACCTCACAGCTAGAAGGTCGCTTGTTCGCGTCCCGGCCAGGCCAGTTGGCATTTCTGTGTGGAGTTTGCATGGTTCTCCAGGTTGGGGGTTGAGCATTGGGCTGATGACCCACCTCATAAAACAAGATGTTACAAAACACCAACATGGTGTGGGTAAATATTAACTTTGATATAAACAGCCCTGAGAGTATGTAAAGAATATATAAGCTGAACATTTTTGAAGTTTAGTCTAGTTTAGCCAATTTAAGTTATCTATACTTAACCCTGTACCGCATGGTGTTGCCATATGGCAACATGATATTTATGTTCATTTCCCTGCCACTGTTTCTTTAAGACCAACATTGAATTGTTTTGTTGATTAGAAAAGACCTTAGAGTAGCCAATGATGTGCTTTGGTTAAGTCACATGACATGCAGTGTTTTTCTGTGGTGCGATTTTAGACAGACTGGTGTTCATTGTGAGTAGTTGCTTAATGCAAATGTAAACCTCAAAAAATCAAATCCAAAAAAGGATCAAATTATTTCAGATCCACAAAAAAATCTGAAACATCACATGATGACATATTCACAACTGAATTTTTTTCTATCCAATAATTTTTTTGTAAATCGATCAATGTGTGTGTTCACTTGTAATTGTAATGTTTACTTGGAATGTGCAATATTGCAATAGGTTAGCTAGCTAGCAAGGTCAGCTGTGAACTTTTAAGTTTTAACATAAACAACATGAATAGTAGAGTAATGTTGAATAGTATGTTAATGACAGTTGCATGATAAATAAAATTTAGTTTTAGTGGCAATACTACTTTTGAATAGATATCAATACAGGGAAAAGTTTATTAGCGAGCACCACCATGTTCTATGGTAAGTGAAAGAAGAAAAGGACAGAACTGAAACTTTCTGCAGATGAAAGTGAGGGTGGGATGGGTTTTAGTGAGCATGAGAATGATGCAGATTGGACATTTGATAAGAGCAGTGATGGAGTCAGTTCAGGTAAGCTCAGAGGCAGATAAGACAGGCGCAGTATAGTATATTATAATATATAAACATTGTTAGCTAGTAGCTCATTCTGATTCATCTGGATATACCAGACTTGTTATTTATTTGTTATAATATTTAATGGAGAAAATATGTATATTTACTGTATGTTGTATACATGATAATACAATATTATGTTTGTTTTCAATAATATTCAGCAAAAAAAGAATGGAATAAATGAAAGCTGTTGTGTTATCAGTTGTTGGAAAGCATGTATAAGGTGTTATTTATTAGTTTAGTGTTAAAGATTATAATACAGCAACAGCAATTAAATCATTTCAAACAACTAAATTATTAATTATAAATAAAGTTCTAAATTTGAAATGTCTACATTAGATCCACTGTTAGACGTTGTTGCCATATGGCAACATTTCATAAAGTTTGCAACACAAAGACATTTTTACAATATTTTTTACAGCACTTTTTACAGCCATTTTAAGAAAAGAAAAATTGTTACTTTTTTAGATCTATCATAATGCATGCAGTAGAGGATTAAACATTTAAGTTATCTGTTATTAAACATTTAAATTAACTCAATGAAGAGACCACATTTGGTCAACTGATTTAATTGAGTTGTCGATTTCCCATTACTCAAACGAACTGAGGGAATAACTTTTCTCATATCATTTGAGTAGTCTCAACTTAGGGTTTATAATATTTTTTCATGTGAGCTTCCATGTTATATAGCAATGTTAAAATTCAAAAGATGAATGGATGGATGGATGGATGGATGGATAGATAGATAGATAGATAGATAGATAGATAGATAGATAGATAGATAGATAGATAGATAGATAGATAGATAGATAGATAGATAGATAGATAGATAGATAGATAGATAGATAGATAGATAGATAGATAGATAGATAGATAGATAGATATGTCATCTAATTGAGTGTATTAGAATTATTCTCCTCGTCCACCTTTGTGAGTCTTTCTCTCCACATGAGAGCAGAGGAGCACCAAGAGGAGGAGGAGGAGGAGGACAGGTGAAATCAGCTGGCTGTGCGGAGCTGCATGTTCGCAGGCCTTTAGGGGGAGTGTTGAGACGCGTGGAGACTGAGACTGGCACCGCGTCTGAGTGAAGGGGGAGAGGCTGGGAAACGACGGGAGCACAAGCAAGGCAGAGCTTCACTGTCTGTGGCCCTCTGTCCCCTCGTCCTCGATGCCTGCAAAAAACACATCGGCCGACCCATAACAAGGACACCGAGCGACCGAAGCACCGCGCGCTCTCTAACCACCGCCGCCGCCGCCGAAGCGCCCGAAACGCATAGATGTCCACGGTGAGTCAGAGCTTTTTTCTTGGGTGATCAGTCATGTTTTATGTACGCCCGCTTACTAATGGACAAACGTTATACAAGCGGCTTGCCTTTTACAAAGGACATTCAGAAGACTCGTGTGCGTGCTTGTGGACGGCTTCAACGCAGCGTTAGCCTTGAGTTTTGACATGGTGAAGAAAAAAATGCAACACCCCTTTCTCTCCATTCACACCAGCGATGTATATATACTCAAGATTGAACCTCTGCGTCTTGGCTGTTATGTTTCCCTAAAGGTCGAACGCTGCCCCAAAAATAATGTGAAATAACAAGCAAAACAACAGCCGGCGGTGTTAATAGATGTCATGCGCGAGTCCTTAAGGATGTCCATCTGATCGGATGTTTGCCTCTATAAAACAAGGCTATGGTGACTGGTGCGTTGGAATGTTTGCACAGTATGATCTCTATAGCATGTCCACCGCAGATATGGGCACGTTCACGGCCTGTGGCGCGCTATAATTCAGCTCTCCGGGTGAAGGACAGGACTGTATAGCCCACACTTGGCGGTCGGGTGTGACATGCTGTGTTGCACAAGTATCCGCACACTGTTACTGTAACAGCCTCGACACGGTCACTGCTGCGAATATGGTACACACACGCACACACACACTCGCAGTCAGTGTTATGTAACGAAACATCTCCAAACGGCCTATGGGAGAAATGCTGCATAGTTCTTCTAGCAAGATGAGCCATCGATGAAGCACTGAAATTATGCAGCATGCATATGTTATGGCGATGGAGAGCAGTCGGTGGTGTGTTTATGTGCGTCAATGCTTGTCTAGCGTAAATACGCGGATTATTATTTTTGTAGGATAAGGCAGCGTGATCTGATTGATGGAGCTTTTTTATTGTGAGAGGAAACCGGGGCTTAGATTAATAACGGTTGTGTTGTTGTGGATGATGCGACGTTGTGATCTCTGTATTTGCATTATGTAACATCAGCGCGCGGCTGTTGAAATGTCGTGCAAACGTCCCGGAGGAATACGGCACGATATAGCCTACGAGAGCCAGCGAGGAGAGGATGCACGGTGGTACAGATACAACCACAGTGTGTGTATTTGTGCAGTGCTTCTCTTAAGTGTGGCCTCTGCTAAAACAATGACTCGAGAGTAGGCTGTGTAGGCTATTGGGCTATGGAAGTTAAAAGGTTAGTTCACTTAAAAATGAAAATTATGTCTTTGTTTGCTATCCCTCATGTCGCTATACAAACCTCTTTTTATTCAGAATACAGTAGAAGTGTTTGTAAGAATGTCTGAAATATTTCTGCTGCTCCATTGAAAGTTTATTTACCACAAACTCTGACGGATCGAAATGTCTATCAAAATAAATCCACATTAAACCCTGCAGGCTGCAGGCACAGGACGTCAACATTTTTTGTCTGGAAATGAAAACTGGGTTGACATCAATGTCCAATCCAAAATCAACCTAAAATTAACGTCTAATCATGTTACACCTTGACGTTGTGTGTGGACGTTATCAGACGTTGAATTTTGGTCACTTTTCAACACAACCTTAAATCAACCAAATATCAACGTAATTTGACATCGGTATTGGACGTCAGACTGACCTTTTCCTTAGACAATGGCTAGACATTTAGTTTTGGCCACCTGATGTCATGACTTAAATCTAACCTAATATTAACGTCTTATGATGTTGTGTGCCTGCTGGGAAGTGCTTTAAACCAAGTCTAAGACACACATTCACTCCGTATAATGAATAGATTTAATTTGGGCTTTTATTATTTACAATAAAATATAGATCAATAAATATATGTCTCGATTTTTGATGTAACCCTTATTACCCGAAGGTGGGAATTGAGATGTTACGTCAAAACAACATTACAGGATTCTTCTAATGTTTTGTTATGACGTTACTCAGAGAGACAGACTAAGGGGAATTCAATTTAATTCATATTTATTTCTATAGCAATTTTTACAATGTAGATTGTGTCAAAGGAGCTTAACATAGAACAGAAGATCAACCATACCTGCTTTACACACAAGAACAAACCTCATCAGAAACTCTAATATGATGGCTTCATTTGTTTTCCAAAGATGAATGAAAGACATGAACGTGAGAAAATTATGACAGAATCTTATTTTGGGGTAAACTATCTCTTTAATTCATACAGAACAGGCCCAACACCATAAAAGTAATAGCACTTTCAGTTGAAGCAATCTAAATAGGATCATTTGTACAATATAAACACTCTATTTGTGGAAAACTTCAAAGTTTTGTCCATGTGGAATCAACATTTACAATGTTTTTTTGCTAGAGCACATTAGCTCCTTTCACACATTCAGACCTTTTCCGGAAAATTACCGGCAATTCTCCAGAAAGGTCTGTATGTATGAAAAGGCCCTTTTTAAAAATACTGGTAAATTTGTTCCGGCTATTTTCCAGAAAGAGAAGATGTAACATTATTAGTAATCTGCCGGAATGCTGTTCTGTGTGAATGCTGAAGGAAAATTGCCAGAAAGAGCGTGTTCATAATTAGAACCCGATAACGTGAGACAACTACTCCAACCAATCAGAACATTCAGACACATTCACCTCTGCGCTGTTTATGAAAATAAAAGCCGGATTTTCCAAATATTTACCGGTATCACTGTGTGAAAGGGGGTAATGTTGTTCTTCAATTAATTCATGTTAGTTAATCCACAGAAAAAAAAACAACAGTTTGTTTTGGTAATCTTCAATCAAAGTCTGACCCTTTGCTTCTACATTTGAAGTGGTGGTCCTTCACTGATGATCAGTTTTACAGTTTCATCAACAATACCCTTAACAACGCCCCTTAACCGTTAGTTTGCTATTAGGGAATTGGAAGTACATCAACATGCTGAAATAAAACTTCTGGTTCTCAAAGACTTTAATGACCTGTTTTTGCACCTATGACTAAAGCAGCCAATCAAAAACATCTGTTGATCTCTTGAGCATGACCAATCAGAGATGTTTATAGGGATGATGCACCAAAATATTAAAATATGTTGTTTCTTTCCATCACGCAATGTGACTATTGTTTCTCCAGTAAAATGAACAAAGATTTAATTAGAAACTGTGGCCCTTAGTGATTCATACAATGGGTGAACCTACTGGCACTTTCAGATTCAAAAACATATTTACAGGAAACACTAAATAAGTATGTGGCTCCTGGTGATACATTGAAGTACAATGAAGTGAAATGATTGTTTAAGAAAGTGAACAACAGTAATCAACGGACGTAATTCATTTTAGTGACGGCTCGTAAGTAATTACAAAGGGAGTTACAATAGGCTGCAATGCTTGACATGTGATAACCATAACAATGGAGAGGACAAAAATATATCACATGTCAGTATATATAAAGCTAGAGCACCTGCGCTAACTCCAGAACCACCCTCAGTCATTTACTTCTCCAACAGGGGCTATATTAGTGTGTTATGGCATCCAAATGAGCCATGCTGAGTTTGTGAGGGAATCCCTTGTTGAACAACATACTAGAATGCAACACACCTACTGCATTTACAATGTCTTACTATATATGGCATCAATAATGTGAGAAGTATGCGATTCTGAATTTAGCAGTTGTTTCGAGTTGGATCTTGTAAATGAACTAGTTCACAGACGGATTTATTCATATACTGGGCTAAATTACTTCAAAATGGATATTGAAAGTGCTAGAAAAAATCATGCTAGGTGTTAAGGTCTAATATACTTTAAGCAAAGTTCTCTGTTTGATGGCAAAAAGTTTGAAAAGGCTGAGTGACGGTATACTGTTTCCGAACATTCGGACACTCCTGCACTGCAGTAGGCCTGTACGATATCGGAGAAAACTGACATTACAAATTTAGTTTTTCTACGATATATATATTGCAATATTAATGCCATTGTATTTAAATAACTCCATTAGGAAAGAATTCATAATTTTACATTTGTGATAATTGTGTAGGGAGTGTGTATATTCTAAAATACATTCATTCATTTTCTTGTCGGCTTAGTCCCTATATTAATCTGAGGTCGCCACAGCGGAATGAACCGCCAACCTATCTAGCACGTTTTTACGCAGCGGATACCCTTCCAGCCACAATCCATCTCTGGGAAATATACAAGCATAAATAAATACGATATAATAAAATGTGCATGATTTAAACATTGCTATCCTGGATATTCTAACAGTATTGAGGTCAAATGTAAAATAACAATGTAATGTAATCAAAATATTTAATCGGGGGTAAAATAGCACTGTATAGCAGGGGTGTCAAACTCATTTTAGCTCACAGGGCCACATGGAGGAAAATCTGATCCCAAGGGGGCCGGACCGGTAAAATCATGGTAAATATAACTTAAAAACAAAACCTTCAGATTGTTTTCTTTTATTAAAAAATGTAATGTCATTTTTAAACTTCATCCCGCGGGCCAGATTAAACCTGTTTGTTGGCCTTATCCAGCCCGCGGGCCGTACGTTTGACACCCTTGCTGTATAGTCTTCATTATAATAAGAAATCCAATTCATCTTAGTTAAAGTTTTATAATCTATTGTGCTCAAATGGTTTAACTACCTTGAAATCGTAAGGTCACATGCCTTTCGAAAATAGTTGCATTCGCTGTAGGCATGGGCCGGTATAAGATTGTGATGGTATGATAACTTTGGATATAAATATCATGGTATGGTGATTACTGCTCTAAATATATATTCTTTTTAAATGTTTGGGTAAAAAACAAAAACTTTTTCTTTCTATTTGAAAACAATATATTTTATTTTGAGAAACATTTCAAATATTTTGGAGCACTAAACAGGTCAGTCTAAATAATTACTTATGAATAAAGTCTAAAGTCTAAACAAAGACTTCTGCTGTCTTCATTAGTTTCAAAAACACTGATTTTGTTTTTACAATTTAAAAGCATCTTTGGAGATCTTTTCTGCTAGAGATACAGTGTCCTAAAAAAACTAACAAAAAAATTTATTAAAAAATGTTACACATACCTTA